ATGATGATGATGATGATGATGATGATGATGGTGGTGGTGGTGGTGGTACTCATACTCACTGGTTTTTTAAGGCAGCTCAAATCAAGGTGAACCACACTCTCCAGTGCCTGAAATAAATTGGAAAAAAAAAACAAATAAAATTTAATAACAGTTATATGGAAATGTAAAAATAAAATAAGATAAAGACTATTTATCAAGAAGAGATCACAATGTCCCACAATTCTCTGCAAAAAAAGGTTGTTACCATTCTTTCTTTGAACTTCAGAAAGGCAAGTTGTGCATAGAAAAGTAGAATGTAATGGGTATGTGTGCATAAATGCAGAACCACCCTCCTGGATAAGCTATTCTAAAACATTCATTCATTTATAATTGCAATACCTTAGTACTGCAAGGTAACTTACTTGAAGTGCTGCCTTCCTGACTCCCACTTTTTCATCACAGGTCCTCTTTCTTATCATAGACCCAACAGTGTGGATTTCATTACTGTTTACTGACTTGTCTAACGGTTCTTTAAGGGCTTCTTGTACAAGCTTTACCAGTTCTGCATCACCTGATGTTATGGACTGTGACAAGTGCTGCAGTGCCTTGGCACGAACACTGCAAGAAATGATTATGTTATGTTAATAATATTGACAAATGCCATTCTGTTTACCATTATCTATACACCTATACACAGAGGTTTCTAAAGAAGGTGGCTACTGGCCATTAATTGCTGGGTACTTCACCTTTAACCATCAGCTATTTCATGATCAAATGGAAAATCATTAATAATAGTGTGGAACACAGCCGCCTATCAAGAGAGCCTTCTACTATTATGATTATTATAATTGTTAGTAGTAGTAGTAATCAGAAACATTCAACAAGAAAAAATTGAAAATCGAAATACTTAAAGAAAAAGTATGAGCATGCAAGAGCATGCAAGAAAGGCAATTTCTATAATCCAAAAAAAAGCTTGGCATAAAGAAATGGCTAAAAACAGTTTTTTGTTGTCATTATGCATAAATTTGAACAATATTCTGCTCAAACTTCAGGCAATTCTTTTTCATTGTAGCTAGCCAATCAAAGCATACATTATTTCGTGGTCATGCCATGAGGAATACTCACGTTGGAGCCCTATCTGAGCATCTTCCAATCAAGATATCCAATAGGACTTTCTTTGTTGTCAAAACCTGGGTTTCTTGATCAGTTTGAACTTAAAAGATGAATGACTGAGTTAGCAGATCGCAAGGAAATGAATAAAAAACTAAAAACAAAACCAACCTTGATTCTTTGGCCTTTTTTCTTGCAAGAGTAATTCTGATATGAAGTCCAAAGCAAACACCCTGTAGCTCATCTAGAGTAAGCAAGCCATCAACACATTTCAGTAAATTCCCAGGTTGAACATCTTGCTAAGATCAATAACTAGTAAGATCTTGCATTTTTTTAATGTCCTCCTAGATCTTCATAGATATTTTGCAAGCAAGAGCTTGCAAGCTCTTGCAGGTTTTTGCATGATTATCTGCCAAGATCTTGCCATGTTCATGCAAGGATCTTGGCAAGAGTACCCAATATTTTCAAGATCCTGGCATGGTAATGTCTATGCTAATGTCGTAAAAGATCTTGTCCAAGATCTTGAAGGGTCATGCCATTATCATGCCAGGATCTTGGCAAGACTTTGCCTAATCTGACAAGAATCAATCTTAACAAGAAGTTCCACCTGGGAACCTTCTCAGAGTGTCAGCAATGACTTGACATGATAAATGTCTATTATAAACACATTCTAATTTGACGGTTTTAAGATAATTGCAGTTTCTTTTTGGATCTAACCAGTCTTATGTACATCCATACTTTTGCCTACCAAAAATGGGACTTGTGTGGGGAAAGGAGAGGGGATAATTTTGGATCTAAGTATTGTTAAGTACTACACATGTATACCTCAGCTGAGTCTACTATGCAGGCAACTGCCATTGAACCTCTGTTGACCCTTATTACCACATACCTTAGCATTCTTGCTGTATTTGGTAATCCATTCCATCAGGCTGGAATAGGATTTGTCTGGTAGACTCTTGAGGACATCAACAGCAGCCTTAAATAATAAAATTGGCATGAAAACCATTACTAGTAAACTTGTCTATTAGTGACCCCAGAATCTGTGCATTTACTAAACAAATGCCAACATGTCCAAAGCCTCACAACTTTGTTGCAATAAAACAATGGATTCATTAATACAGACACCATTTTCCAGGCTTCAAATGTACTTGCATAGAAAAAGGGTCTACCGTAAATCTAGTTCTCTTCAATATGTTTTAGATTCTTGTTGATTTCTCCCTCCCAATCATAATTTACTGTATGTGGGGCAATTCCTTAGCGATTGTCAAGGGTCATGGAATTATTACACAAACAGGGGTTCAATTCTCTTTTTTATAGGAGAAAAACAAAACATGTCCCATACATGTAGACTAGATGTACCATCAGGAAGCATGCACCACCAGCAAGCATGCACCATCAGGAAGCATGCACCACCAGGAAGCATGCACCACCAGGAAGCATGCACCACCAGGAAGCATGCACCATCAGGAAGCATGCACCATCAGGAAGCATGCACCACCAGGAAGCATGCACCATCAGTAAGCATGTATGCTTTGGTTGTGGGTTTGATAACTGGACCTGTCATCAAATGTTAGTAGGGTTGCTTGTTTCTCTCCTGTGCTTTGCTTTTTTTTCCTGAGTGGCCTATTTTTCTCCCTTCTCAAAAATCAACTAATTTCTGAATTGAACTTTAACCTGACATCAAAACCTTTAACATGAGAATTTTAAGTGTTTTTATGTATTATGCTAGTCAACCTAATAACAATTACCCAGAATGCATTTATTCAGTTTCACAATACCTTTGCAACCAGAACCCTGTAATCAGCTTTGTCTGGACACTTTGTACACAGATGCTGGATGAGAACTCTAACGGCATCTTGAGATGGTGTACAATTCTTCTCTGCAATATAACTGCAGAAAAAGAAGAATTGTAACTGAAATAACCATAACCAATGAAGATCTTGTCATAAGCAAATTATAGGGTTTTGGTAAAATATAAAACATTTTTATATTTTCAGTTTAGTAAGGTGAAGCACAATTTATAGCACAAGCACAAGTGTCTTTGTCAGTGGGTTGACAGGAGGTTCTCAGTAGAATTTAGTTAATATGTAGTTGGTAATGGTTAATGAGCAAGTACAGATCACAGAAATATGAAACATGCTGTAATGCAAATTGCAGTGGATCAATCCCCCTGCTGTTCCTTACCAGGCAAATTCCACAGCATTGTCTTTAATCAGCTGTAAGTCTTTGACTACAGATGCCTTGGGACCAGTGTGTGTCATCAAAATGTTTGGAACAAGATTCTTGAGTACCTTATGCAGCAAATAAATGCTTGTTACAATATGAAGGCAGATCTAGCAAATTCTAAAGGGGACTGTGGAAGTCTTGACAACACAGTACTGTATCATAGACAGGATCATGGCTTAGAGCAGACTAAAAGCTACTACATAAAAAGAGAGCCAACAAACCAAAATATGAAGTTWATGGATCTCAAATTTAACTGCTATAATTTGTAGAGTTAGACTAATTTCAAGAAACTCAAAGTGTACATGGTTCAAGTGTCCTTGCTGTAAGTAGGAATTAATGAAATTACAAGTAAGTAGTTGATATCAGCTGTTCATCAACAGGTATTTTGTGGATAGTAGTTGCTGTGAGTTGGAAATAATTTATCAATAATTTATCAATCTACTAACTATTAAAACATTGCTTACAGTTCTTGTATTTGATCCAACATCTCCATGTAAAGCACCACAAATCATTGCTAAACCCTATCACAAACAAAACATTTAAAG